GTGGCGCTGTGGGTTAAACAACAGAGCCTAGGACTTGCTGATCAGAAGGTCGGCGGTTCGAATCCCTGCGAAAGGGTGAGCTCCCATTGCTCGGTCCCTGCTCCTGCCAACCTAGCAGTTCGAAAGCACATCAAAACGCAAGTAGATAAATAGGTACCACTCCGGCGGGAAGGTAAACGGCGTTTCCGTGTGCTGCTCTGGTTCGCCAGAAGCGGCTTAGTCATGCTGGCCACATGATCCAGAAGCTGTACGCCAGCTCCCTCGGCCAATAAAGCGAGTTGAGCGCCGCAACCCCAGAGTCGGCCGCGACTGGACCTAATGGTCAGGGGTCCCTTTACCTTTACCTTTATGTACGAAAGAGAGGCGCCAGCAAGCTTGGCGGGAAGATTTTGATTTCTAGCAACTGGTATTCAGAGACAGACTGCCTCCAGCAGTGGTGGTAGAACGTAACCATTCTGGCCAGTGTTCACTGATAGCCCTGTCCTCCATGAATTTGCCTAATTCTCTTTTAAAGCCATCCAGGTTGCTGCCCGTCTTACCACCTCCCGTGGGAGAGGACTCCATAATTCAACGACGCGCTATGTGAAGGGTTCCTATCTGCTTCCAGCCTGCCACTTTGACGAAAACAGGATGCTGAACTAGATAAGTTTCTGACCTCATCTAGCATCACGCCTCTTCCTATGCTTATGTTCTTAGGTAAGCCCTGTGTGGAGAACTGATGTCATAACCCCAAAAGGTTCAAACTCCAAGAGACAAAAGTCAGTCAGTTGAGTCAATTCATTGTTTAATTAACTCGAGCGGTATAACATGCTATGTCAAATACTCGAGGTTAAAGGAACGGTGAGTGTGTATTTAAAATTTATAGGACGGATAGGCAAACATACGGCTAGGAATGTAACAATGTCCTTCAGTATGTTCCGAATTCCACCTGCAATTTCATCTGGTGTTTTCCCACCATCTATTACACTACAATTTATTTATTTTTCAGTCTTTCTTCTGTTTTCCCGTCCGCTGATGCTGAAATATATGTGTATGTTTTTATGTATCTCACAGCACACAACAGAAACCCGTAACTCATCTATCAAGAGATATGTACAAATAAGCTGTGTGTTCCTTTTCAAAGTTAATGAATTTCAGAGGGGTGGGGCCCTGCTTCTCTTGTTTGCAGCAAAAGCAACAGAGAGCCCTGCGGCAACTTAAAAATAAAGCTAATTCCTATTGCCAAACCATCTATGGGTGCGATCGTAACAATGTCTATTCAGAAGTAAGTCCCATTGAATTCAATGGGTTTTAGTCACGTGTAAGTGGGACTAGGATTATTGACGTTCTTGCAATCTTGATTTCACAGTTCAGCATAAACTTTTCATCCTATCTCACTTCCCTCACTCAGACATCAGGGTGGTACAATGTAGAACACCCTCTTGATATTATATCCTTGTGTCCTGGCCTTGTATAAATTACTTCTGCAACTAACTCAACTACATATAAATATCCTCCTCTTTCTTTAATCCTAACATTCTAATTTTTAATGCCTGTTTTATTCCGAATATAGCCATCTGTGTGTGTCTGTTGAAATATTACACTCAAACTAATCTGAATGTGAAAGGTACAATAATGAACAATGCATTCCACTGGTTTTAAAAATTCACAGTAGGAAGCAAATTAAGCCTGCAGTCCTAACCCCAATTACGTGGGGGGAAAGTTTTTTGTTGTTGTTATTAATAAAAATTGGGAGTTGAAAAGCCTTGCCAGTCTCGCAAAGATCGACCAGTAGACCTTGATCTATCTTCTGCCCTCTCCCAATCTATAGTATCCATAGTGAGAATATTGATATATGCAGAATGAGAAACTTTACTTTCAATGTCTGAGGACCTACAGCAAATGTTGCCTTTCAGTATGTGACAAAAATCTCCCAATTTGGGCAAAAATGAAAACCGTTCTTACCGAATCATCAGAACTGACTCGTCCACAATGAGCACCTGTATTCATTTTCCTACATTCAGCATAAAAAGTACAATCCATCAGAACAGGCTGCCTTAGCTCCTTCCTGCAGCCAATCGGAAGCCGTGCTTTGGTTTCCGAACGTTTTGGAAGCTGAACGGACTTCCAGAACAGATTCCGTTCAGGTTCCAAGGTACGACTGTACCTGCTTTGTTGCTGAATAATTGATTTTTTTAAAAAAAATCCAGTTTCTTCCTCTCTCTTCCCCTCTCCTTGCACACACACACACAAGCACACACATGCACACACACACAGATGGAGAGGGAGAGCATTTGCCTAATAACAGAGAGTGAACCAGGGGGTATGGAGGAGAGAGCCCTGAAACAGCCAGATGGTCAAAAAACCTGGCCCAAATGTTCCGAAATCTGGCATGCCTTCGATGAGCTCAGCTTGCCGCACATGGGCCGTTTTCCCTCTGCCTTTGCTTGCTTCAGCTTCAGGGCTCTCCTTTATTTATTTCATTATTTTTATCTGTGCACTTAAAATATTTATGAACAGCACTTTCCTATAAAGTATCACAGACCAAAACACATGCTATCGCAATGAAACATCAAAAGGACTAGTTGGCAAGGAATCTCGGATTCGAAAGGGCTGCATGAATAATACAGTTTTCAGAACAAGGAGGGATCACTCCTGCCAAACAGCGGTGGACTGTGGGTTCTCAAATTCCAGCGGCGCCCCCTGCAGTGGCGCTACCCTAAAATTGCCTCTGCTGCCAATGTTCTATTGGCAGGGAGTTCCACAGGGCAGGGCTAGCCACACTAAAGGTTTGGCCCCCGATAAAGGCCTGCTGCGCCTGTGGGGCAAGCAGGATACCCACAGTGCCCCATCAAAAGACATCAGCAGTTCACGTGGAAAAAATCACAGCCTTTCTTCAAAACTGGAACTCATCCAAATGTACGACGCTACACTTTGGACAAGCGCTGTGTGCAAAAATGCACCTCTTAATGCAAAGTGTCCGTAAGAATGCAGATGTTAGCAAAAATAAGTAAGTACAAAAATGTGTTATATTGGGGAAAATTGCTTTGCAAAAAAAGTGTACATTAGGTAAAACTGTATACAATTGCATGTACAATCATACCTTGGAAGTCGAATGGAATCTGTTCCGGAAGTCTGTTCGACTTCCAAAACGTTCAGAAACCAAAGCGCTGCTTCTGCAGCCAATCAGAAGCTGCGGAAGCCCCATCGGACATTCGGCTTCCAAAAATATTTTGGAAACTGGAACACTCACTTTTGGGTTTCGATCATTTGGGAGCCAAACCTTTTGGGAACTACCGTATTTTTGCTCTATAAGAAGCACCAGACCACAAGACGCACCTAGTTTTTGGAGGAGGAAAACAAGAAAAAAAAATATTCTGAGTCTCAGAAGCCAGAACAGAAAGAGGGATCACTACGCAATGAAAGCAGCAATCCCTCTTGCTGTTCTGGCTTCTGGGATAGCTGTGCAGCCTGCACTCGCTCCATAAGACTCACACACATTTCCCTTTACTTTTTAGGAGGGAAAAATTGAGCCGGTAAGTTGTTCGAAAACCAAGGTACAATTGTATTAGGAGAAATTTGCACAACAGTGCTGATTAATTTTCACGAGGAAGTTTGGATTTATTTATTTTTTGAAAACTGATTTAGACAATATCAGAAAGTGCGAAAAACTGGATATATTCACCCATCCATTTCACTGAAATTTGCAACCTAATTCAACGGTCTGCCCTATGAAAAGAGATTCGACTGAGCTGTTCCGGCCTTCTGAACTTTCCTCCCTTAGCTGCACTTTTGCTGAGCTGCTGGTAAAGCAATATGGGTTTTTAATATCATCCTGACGGGGATGTGGAATAAGGCTTCTACACCTAAGGGATCCGTCAGCGTTTTCAGAGGTTCATATGGACATTAAACCTCCCTTACTGGGGAGGGTGGAGAAGGTCACCCTTTATTTATAATCGCAGGCACCAGACACACAGAGGTGCTGAATGACTCTTACATCTGGCAAACCCAAATCTCAGCAGAGCCCACTGAGAATATCGCCCAGTCCAAGGTGACTGAATTTAAGCACAAGGGGCAACAGAATTAATATGGATTTGGGGCAGATCTTGTAACCCATGGTCTGCTAGCATTTTCTGTGCTTTTGGGAACAGGAAGTGAAATCTTCTTTTCCGAAAGGGAAGGTAACTACATTGAGTAAGTCAGGATCATCTCATCAAAGTTTATGATAAGACATGGGTGTTTGGGGGTGCCAAAGGACTGCTCTCCCCACACACTTACATCACAAGAGGGGACCTGATCCAGGATGGTAGCCCTCTGACTTAGCGGTACCATGTCAGGGCACAAACAGGGTTGGGGGGAAAGTTCAAATAAGATCAAATGCTTCTCTGTCTGCCTATCTCCCTGGGCCCCATTCCCTGAACAGTGTTACACCAGCGATCAGAGTACAGTGGTACCTCGGGTTAAGAACTTAATTGGTTCTGGAGGTCTGTTCTTAACCTGAAGCACCACTTTAGCTAATGGGGCCTCCTGCTGCCGCCGCGCAATTTCTGTTCTCATCCTGAAGCAAAGTTCTTAACCCAAGGTACTATTTCTGGGTTAGCAGAGTATGTAACCTGAAGCGTCTGTAACCTGAAGCGTCTGTAACCCGAGGTACCACTGTACTCGTCTAGACTTCACTCTAAAACAAATGATTCTAAGAGACAAGTCTACAGAATCTCAGTTTTTGAAGCCCATAAGGTGCTTACAAAAAGCAGCGCCTGTTCCCTGGCGAGCCCCTTCTCTATGGTACCAAACAGTGTCCGAGAAAGCTTTCCAATTGTCTTTTAAGAAAAATACATACGTGTGTGTGTGTGTGTATACCTGTTACTTAAAAGTTGTAGACCACAGGCAACAAACATTCATGTGTGAATCTGCCCCAAGTGAAAGTAAGGGTGTAAGAACAGTCCTGCTGGATTATATCAAAGGCCATCTAGTACAGCAACTTCTTCCATAGAGGTGCCAAACAGATACCTATGGTATAAGCTCCAAAGCAGAACAGGAATGCAGTACCCCTCTCCTGCTGTTGAGGGAGCTGGGCATGTTTAGCCTGGAAAAGAGGAGGCTGAGAGGACATATGATAGCCATCTTCAAATATCTCAAGGGTTGTCACGTGGAAGATGGAGCAGGATTGTTTTCTCCTGCACTGAAGGTTAGGACTTGAATCAATATGTTACAAGGAAGGAGATTTCGACACAACATCAGGAAGAACTTTCTGACACTAAGAGCTGTTCGACAGTGGAACAGAATCCATTGGAGGTTGCGGACTCTCCATTGGAGGTTAAAAAGCAGAGACATCACCTTGCCAACAAAGGTCCATATAGTTAAAGCTATGGTTTTCCCAGTAGTGATGTATGGAAGTGAGAGCTGAACCATAAAGAAGGTTGATTGCCGAAGAATTGATGCTTTTGAATTGTGGTGCTGGAGGAGACTCTTGAGAGTCCCATGGACTGCAAGAAGATCAAACTGATCCATTCTGAAGGAAATCAGCCCTGAGTGCTCACTGGAAGGACAGATGCTGAAGCTAAGGCTCCAATACTTTGGCCACCTCATGAGAAGAGAAGACTCCCTGGAAAAGACCCTGATGCTGCGAAAGATTGAGGGCACAAGGAGAAGGGGACAACAGAGGACGAGATGGTTGGACAGTGTTCTTGAAGCTACCAGCATGAGTTTGAACAACTGCGGGAGGCAGTGGAAGACAGGAGTGCCTGGTGTCCATGGGGTCATGAAGAGTCGGACATGACTAAACGATTAAACAACAAAGTAGAGGTTGGATTGCCACCTGTCATGGGTGCTTTAGCTGAGATTTCTGCATTGCAGGGGGTGACCTTTGGGGCCCCTTCCAACTCTACAGTTCTATGATTCTATGAGTCTGGAAGTAACTGGATGTGTTATTGAATGATGGCATGCATGCACAAGCCAGCTCTCAACCCGAAAACTGAATTGGAGATCTTAATTAGAGTGAAGCTCAGTGGGGCAGCAATCCTTGGCATCTCCTGTTAAAAAGCACCTGGAAAGGCAAAAGTCACAGGTTCAGTCCCCGGCATCTCCAGGAAGGACTGGGAAAGACACCTGCCTGAAACTCTGAAGAGCTACTGCCAGCCAGTGTAGACAATCCTAGGCTATTTGAACCGGCAGTTTGACTTTGCACAGGACAGATTCATATGTCGACTCTTGTCTCCTGTATCTAAATGCAAAGGCTATTTAATCTGCTGGATGACACTGCTTTTCATTATAGCTAAACAAATGAACAAACAAACACTTTAAACTGCCAGCCTATCCATTAAAGTGAGAGTATCGGCATTAATCTGCAAACCAGCCATCTCTTGTTAAAAGCAATCCACTCCGAGAAACCATATATTTTTTCCTACTTGTGCAGCTGCCTCCAGATTCTGAAAGCCACAGCTAATTGGAAGGCCTTGCACCGCAATGTTGTTGGCTGATCTGCACCCTTTTAACAAGCCTCACCTCCATGCCACCCAGTGCAGCAATTTGCGTTAAACGGAGAAATAAATAACTATGGAAAGCAAAGCACAATGAGGCTGATTACGGTTTGGCATGCCCAACTTGCATTTTCATGGATGGGTTGTGCAGACGATTCCTGATGGTTCTGAGGCTGTCACCATGGACAGGAGAATGACCACCCCTCTCCCCATTATTATTTCATCTTGTGGCCTCGTCCCTTGAACATCGTGCGTGCGTTTTATAGGGGTGGCTCCTGGCACAACCAGCACCGACTTCTCTGTCACCTAGTTCTTCCTTCTTGTAGTACCATCAGGAATGCAGGCGGATCACTCACAGTCAGCAGCGCTCCTCCAAACAGCTGGCCTGCAGCTGAACTACTTTGCAAGGGGAGTCATGAGCCCCTTTCAAAGGGCTGCCTTGCAGAGAGCTTTGCAAAAGCACTTTTTCGTGGGCATGTTGCAAAGCACCCTGCAAGACCCCTGTGGTCAGAAAAGGGCATCGTTTTCACATGGGATGATAGGCAGGCAAGCGTCTCCACCCACCTGTCAAATTTGGACTAGGGATAAAGGAGATCAACAATATGGTTCACTGGCCAGATCAAGACAGTGTCTGCTGTCTCCACTCCTCAATATGCCACAGAGAAGGAAGACTGGATATTGACGCTCCCATTCCATAGGTAGAATGCAACATATGATGCCTCAAGGGCAGCTGCTATGAACTTTACTGATCACCCAGGCTGTCTGGTCCCCTTTCTGACATGTAATGCAAAACACAGAGATTCTAAGACCCCGAGTCCCTCCCCCCTCATATCATGATTTATAATTGGATTAAGTTTTAACACCTCTGAGGATTGCTTCATTTAGTCTTAAATTTCTGCATTGCCGAATGTGGCAATATGGCTTGTTGTTTGCCTAATTATGCTGTTGCTAAGGGATGACTTTTGGAACACTTTTAGATTCTTGCCGGCTCTGTACATTGTGCAGCGGCTGCTTCTGAAACATGCAGAAAATAGATCTGAACTTATTTTTCGTTTGTAGAATCGCATGCAGCCTGCGTTCCTTGCGTGATCAATACATTTAAATGGCATAGTGAGACATCGCCAAGGAATAAAAACATCCTGCCTATCATTTCTGACCATCACATATATTCATTCTAAAGATGGCTGACCTTTACACTTCCATGGGGGCTACAGTCTTGAACTGAGAAAGCAAAAAAGAGCCTTTGCACAAACCCTGTGGAATGAGGCGTTGGGATTCTGGACTGTACAATATTAGGCTTCTAGTGAGTGCATGTGGTGATCCTTTTGAATACTCCCCACACCTACTAATCAAGCATATCAGGGAGCAAGCTATGACAAACCATTTCCCCAGAGAAGCTGCTTTTCTACATGCAGGGAGGTTGTTTTTGTTTTTCTAACAGAGAGGGGAGCATTTAAAATATGCACCCCAACTTCTGCGGTACTAAGGTGCCTTAACATACTCATTAGTTTGCAGGAGCCAAGCACACACAATAACTTTAAAGGTAAAGGGACCCCTGATCATCAGGTCCAGTCGTGGCTGACTCTGGGGTTGCGGCACTCATCTTGCTTTATTGGCCGAGGGAGCTGGCGTACAGCTTCCGGGACATGTGGCCAGCATGACTAAGCCGCTTCTGGCGAACCAGAGCAGTGCACGGAAACGCCGTTTACCTTCCCACCAGAGCAGTACCTATTTATCTACTTGCACTTTGACATGCTTTCAAACTGCTAGGTTGGCAGGAGCAGGGACCGAGCAACGGGAGCTCACTCCGTCGCGGGGATTCAAACCGCTGACCGTCTGATTGGCAAGTCCTAGGCTCTGTCCTAGGCAAGTCCCTACACAATAACTTTAGGTTTCTGCAATTAAAGTGGGTGCAATTGCTCTGCCGTCCTAGCATTAAAAATCCACTTGAGAAAGGAATCCGACTTTTTGCAGTTTAGAAGGCGCAGGGAGAAAGCGCACCGAAAAGTGTGGGATGAACAAATGGCTAATGGGAAGTTGTTTAAATCTCCCCCGAAAGCAAATCAGGGTGAATGCAAGAAGAATGATCAATAGAAATGCACAATAAAGACGGGATATAATTTAACCTCTGCATAAACTCCATGCCTGCAAAACAGGACAAATGCTCAGTAAATAGGGCATCTGGAGAAGTCCAATTTCTGCAATCCCCTCTCAGAATGTCTCAGATGTTCCTCCCGAGAAAGAGTAGTAAAATCTAGATTCTAACCATCACTTAGCAGAGATTCACTGAGCCTGGCAACAGGAAGGATGTTGAAGAATTCAGATAAAAATGGAAAAGGAAGTGGAAACTGCAGCAGTTTGTTTGCTCATCTATCATCAGGAATGGAAGTCAGACATACAAATAAAACTGGGATTTGTTCATGTTGTTGCTGGACTAGTTTTTTTTTTTAAAGTCCACAAAAAACTTGTAATCAATTACTTTTTAAAAATTGTTTTGATGTTTCCTTTGCATTGAAATGAATGTAATTTGTGAAAGTTAGATGAACAGTTACGTAACTCACGTAAAACAGCAGTCAGAGAGACAAATTATGTAGCATTTGGGGGAAACCGAAGTGCAGCAAAATGGAAACGGTGCTAACTATGACAAATATGGGTTGGAATGGCAATTGCTGCCTTCTTACAACCCTTGGCAATAGGTGTGCTCCTCTAATGCAGTTTCCTGCATGCATGCATGTGCACACACATGATGCATTATGAGGGAGCAGGATCAAACCCACCGTCCATTCTCCCAACATCACCATGTCTGCTGTCTGTAGACAGCAGCTTCCCATTAGGCATTACTGAGAAAGCCCCATGTAGCGTTCCACCTGCAAATGGAAACCCTGAGCCCCATGTGCCGGTGCTAGAGAATGTGTCTGGTGGGTGCAATTCTCCTTTCCTCTCACCCATTCACTGAACACATGGGAACATAGGAAGCTGCATGACACCAAGTCAGACGCACTGGCCCATCTAGCTCTGAAGGAGCGTCTCCACCCCCATCGTTGTACCCGGACACTGAAGTCCAGCACCGAGGGCCTTCTGGCAGTTCCCTCACTGCAAGAAGCCAAGTTACAGGGAACCAGGCAGAGGGCCTTCTCGGTAGTGGCACCCGCCCTGTGGAACGCCCTCCCACCAGATGTCAAAGAGAACAACAACTACCAGACCTTTAGAAGACATCTGAAGGCAGCCCTGTTTAGGGAAGGTTTTAATGTTTGATGTATTACAGTATTTTAATATTTTTTGGAAGCCGCCCAGAGTGGCTGGGATATAAATAAATTATTATTATTATTATTATTATTATTATTATTATTATTATTCTACTCTGACTGGCAGGGCTTCTGACAATCAACATTCCCTACCTGAACATGCCCAGGATTGAACCTGGGACTTTATGCATGGAAAGCAAGCACTCTACCACTGAGCTATAGGAACAGTGGTTTACAGCCTCTGCAACAGCACCATAAGCATCTCCATTTAGCTCCAATCAAGAAACACTGGAAGCTGCTGGTTACTGAATCAGGCCACTGGTTCACCTAGTTCAGTATGATGTACGTACAATAACTAGCAGCGACTCTCCAGCATTTTTGACAGGACTTCTCTACCTGGAGATACTGGGGACTGAAACTGGGAAATCATGTGTGCTAATCAGATGCTCTACCACTGAGCTATATCTGTTATATTTTGGGGAGGTGTCATGCAAAAACCATATGCTTTCCCTTCACGTATAAAGCTTGAGGGCTTCAGGGCTAAAAATGTGCTCTTTCAAGTGCACGGGGTCCTCAGCATTCGACGCGGAAAGCCAGGGCATTTCGCATGTGCTATGAATAGCAACCTTGCAGATGTGCACAGAAGTAGACTTTTTAAAGCACTGGGGAAACTGCCAAGGCTTTGCCCCACTCTTTTCAGTTTTCCTGGAGAGAAGTGCAGGAGGCAGTCGAGGAAATGGAAGTGGGGACAAAACCAGGGTTTCTTAGCCTGGTTTTAATTCAATGCTGACCACCAGCAGGGTAGCACAGGGAGCTGCCTTGCACTGAGTTGGACCACTGGTCCATCTAACCCAGTATTGTCTACACTGACTGGCAGAAGCTCTCTAGAGCTGCAGACCCGGAGATTTCCCCTGCCCTACTTGGAGAAACTGGGAGCTGAACCTGGGACGTTCTGGCTGGAAGAGTATGGCAGCATTTAAAGCTGAAAAGGTGTGATTTGTTTGATGGTGGTTGATGCACGCTGATCGATACCAGAGCAGTCGTAAGCCCCTTTCAAAAGCGCATGGGATTTCAGCCACAGCATGCCCAGAATCTCCCATGCCAGCCGTTGTCAAATGCAATGGGTGCCACAGCATACCAGACTGGAAGGAACAAATGCTAGCCCCCTCCAAAATGACAAAATACATTTTGGCCATCTGTTTCAGTATAATTCTGGCAGTTTACTACTGAAGCAGAGTGCCACCTCCAACGTTTCTGGACTGCATTTCAACGGATCAGTTTATAGGCTCATAACCCACTGCAAAAAAGGGAAAAGGGCAAGTCATCCGTCCCCAAAACAATTACCACAATAAGAGCACAGAATGGCATCAGGCAACATTGGTCCATGTAGCTTAGCATCGTCTCCCATGACTAGCTGCAGCTCGCTAGGGTTTCAGATGGGAGCTCTACCTGGAGATACATGGGATTGAACCTTCCTGATGCAAAGTAGATGCTTTGCTATTGAACTAGGGCTCTTCCATCTTCCATTAAATGGGGGAGAGCCTTCACAGTGGTGGCGCCCCAGGTTTGGACCAATTTTCTTCAAGACAAGCAAGCCATGCTAGCTTAAGTCAAGCACATAAAAGTCTTGTCCCTGCAGTTTTAGTTTTAATGTTACGCAACGAAACCTTGCAGAAAACTCTGACCTCCTAGGAGAACAGCTCGAGTTGAGGGTTCCTGCCAGCCAGCCATGTCCTCCTCTGGGGTACTATACACCCTCAAGCAGTTAGAGGGTATGATGCTATATTGCACATCCGGCCACAAAACATCTGACACTGATTTAAGCTCATGCGATGCTATGGAATATGCACCAACATTCCAACTTTTCCGGAAGCGAGCCTGTAAGCTTCTAATAGCGATTTTACAAAGTTTGAATCTGGTTTTATGTTTAGAAAAGTGAGGCGGAAGTCCGATACTCACCTAGAAGAAAGCTGCATTCAACTCAACGGGGCTTACTTCTGAGTAGACGTGCACAGGATTGCACTGTGTATCTGAGAGAGGGGATTATCTGCTCCAGAGTTCATCAAATGTCTCTGACTAAGAGGTCTGAGCCAAGATTTCCCAGGCTTATGTCCATTACTATCATTTGAACCACGCTAACTTAGTTATACAGCTCACTAGTTGCCAGACCGCCCCAACAGTCCTCTGCCGAGCTCCTTCATTTGTTTATTCCCCCAGCTGCAGTGTGCATATTTTTATGGTTCGTTTCCCCAGCATCGCTTATAATGGTACCCATGGTGATAAGCACAATGCAAATACTCTGACAGATGGATGCAGTTGCAGAGTCTGCAGAAAGAATGGGAGAGGGGTTCATAGACTTTCAGGCTTACTGTTTCTGAAAAAAAAATTCTGATATTGAAAGGATGCTTTCAGATGAACAAGAAATATTCTAGTATGCATATAAATATAAGAACACAAGACGAGCCCTGCTGGATCAGGGCCAAAGCCTATACAGTCCAACATCCTGATTTCCACAGTGGCCAACCAGATGACTACGGGAAGCTCACAAGCGGGGCGTAGATCCATTGGGAGCTTCTTTATACAGAGTGAGACCCATTGGACCATTTACTGTAGCTCAGTATTTTCTACACTGGCTGCCAGAGGCTCTCCCTTACCTGGAAGCGCAAGGGATTGTGCTGGGGATTGAACCTGGGGGACCTTCTGTGTGCAAAGGATATGTACTCTTGCAGCAAGGCATACGCTCTAGCATAAGCCGCGACCCTCTCAAAGACCTGAGGGCAATAACCATTTCCCACTTTGGTCCCTAGCACGGATATTCAGAAGCAAGGTGCCTTTCATTCTGGATGCAGTATGGCTCGCCTTATCCTATAGAGATTTGCCTAACACCCTTTGAAAGCCCTCTTAATTTCTGAATAAGAAACGCTGGATAGCTCAGTTGGTTAGAGTGCGGTGCTGACAACACCAAGGTTGCAGGTTCGATTCCCAAGAAGAAGAAGAAGAAGAAGAAGAAGAGGAGGAGGAGGAGTTTGGATTTGATATCCCGCTTTATCACTACCCGAAGGAGTCTCAAACGGCTAACATTCTCCTTTCCCTTCCTCCCCCACAACAAACACTCTGTGAGGTGAGTGAGGCTGAGAGACTTAAGAGAAGTGTGACTAGCCCAAGGTCACCCAGCAGCTGCATGTGGAGGAGCGGGGAAGCGAACCCGGTTCACCAGATTACGAGTCCACCGCTCTTAACCACTACACCACACTGGCTCAGTGTGGTGCAGGGACAGCTGCATGTTCCTGCATTGCAGGGGGGTTGGACAAGATGACCCCCAGGGTCCCTTCCAACTCTATGATTCTCCGAGATAAGTTGGTGGCCCTCGGCACACCTTGTGGAAACAAATTCAATACACTGTGTGAAGAATCATCTCCCTTCTTCCATGCTGAACCTCCCAGCTCCCAGCTTCACTGGGATGGTGTTATTGGGTTCCAGGGATGGCCAGAAGAACTTCCATCTCTCCACCACACCACACCTAATTTTATACACCTCTGTCTTGACCTTCCTCCATTACTCACTTCTTTTTCCTCCTGATCAATTTGGGCTGCTCTTTTCTGCACACCACCCAACTCTACAATATCCTGTTTGAGATGAAGCAATCAGAACTGAAAAAGAGGGAGGCAGGCGAAAATGGCATCAGGGATGCTACACCTAGACATTTCCTTCCCACCCCACAGGGATCTCCATAGGGTCATCTGTCACAAGTGCCCTGTGGAAAAGATCCTGATAAATACTCAACGTTCGAATATGGCTACTTTGCTTCCTTAACAGATCTTTTGTTACTTGGAAGGATTTCTGTCCAGATAGACAGGGTAGCAACCAACCACAGCAACAGCAAATTTGTAAAAAAAAAGATCTTACAATACTGGCAGTTTTATTCAATCCCTTTACTAATTATCCTGAATGTGAAATTTGCCTTTTTCACAGCTCCCAGGCACCGGATTGACATCTTCAGTGCAGAGCCTCAATATACCCTTTGCTGGTCAGTCACCTGCCAGCAGAGATGCCCCCCTCCCCCCCAAAAAAAATCAGTGTTCATGAATTCATCAATTCATTAAATTTATATTCTGCCTTTCCTCTGAAAAGAACCCAGGGAGAAAGGCAATAAAGGAAATAAAACATATTTAAAACAATTACAGTACAGAGACAGACTGGGGAAGATTTCTACTTAGAAGGCTTGTTTCAAGACAGTAGGCACCACAAAGGCAAACGAGATGGTGCCGGTCTAATATTTAACGGGAGGAGAGTTCCAAAGCTATATGTGAAGCTAGAGGTGTTTGCTGCTGCTGTTGTCCCAATGGACATCTCTATACCCTCGTATTTGCCAAAGTCTCCGTTCACCGAGCTCGGAGAGATCACGTTGGAGCTCTCCACAATCCAGTTTTGTCTCCATAGTGGCAGAATACATGTTTCAGTCTGTGGGATCTTCACTTGGGTTGGGGGTGGGGAGCTCAACTTGGAAAAACCTCTGTCCGAGGCCTTAGGAGGAGTAGACAGTAGATGGAAATAGGGAGCGACTATGAGCAGCTTTCTATTTCAGCGCATGGTAGATGGAAGAGCGGAAGATCATTTAAAAGTTGTGCATCGCCAGATAAGCAGGGGTGTGTGTGTGTTTGGGTGGAGTGGGGTGAGTAGAACCCAGAACTGCTGTCATTAATTGTAGACATCTGTCAGAGAGGGAAAACATGTGCAATTCCACCCACCCCGCTCTTTCCCACAAATTAGCTCAATTTGATTTTCAGGAGACAATGAGGAGCAGTGTACTTCGTTGCTAAAAATATCCTCATCCCTTCGCCCTCCCACTTGGGGTCTTCCCAAAGGAAAGTGTATCTTTGCCCTTCTTCCCTTCCAAGGAGAAAGACCCCCCTCCCCCTTTCCAAAATATCTGCTCAAAAAGGCTCAGATATATAATCTGTTAAAGATGCTTAGCATTTAAATTGCAGGTTAGGGTGTTAAAAGCACTTCGTTTTCACGACCCTCCCAGAAATCCCTACAAAACAACCCTGTAAGGTCTTATTACCATCCCTGACTGCAGGGAAGAAGGTTGAGACTGGGAGAAACCAGCATATTTAGGGCTAAGAACAATGCTGCTAAATCTTAACACAAAGGCTACCAAGTGAGTTGGTGGCCTTGGTAAGATATGAACTGGGCACTTGGTGTTTTGTTGCTTGGCCTCTTAGCCACTGTGCTACAGTAGCACGTGGCAGCAGCCTGTGCAAAGGCACTGGCAAGGAACAAGGCAAATCCTAGCACTGAGCAATGAAGCCTTGCAGACCACCATCCAGAAAAGTATTAAGCCAGCAGGTGTTTTTCCAAGTGTCTTGAATAGTCCCAGAGACTGATCCATGCTGAGTTGCCTTTGATGACAAGCAAATGTATACTGTATGTGTATGATGAAACACAAACACAAACACAAACACACACACACACACACACACACACACACACACACACTACTTGAAGTACAGGTCAACACAAAGCAAGGAGTAAGGAAAGCAATGAACAACTGCCTGTTGTTTTCTTAAACAAATAGTCAACAACAGCATGCAGCAACAGGGAGACCAGAGTCCATAGCATGCTTTCTTCCCCAATGTCGTTTTCATCCAAGATTTGGGGTGTACAAATCATTCGTCTGAATCTAGAACAACCACAAATCTTGTGCCACGCTGAAGATTTAACCCGTTTACTGTGGCACAAGCTTTTCTGAGCTCCTTCATCCTCTGCACAAAGTGATAGATACTTAGGGGCTAGGGGGTTACATCCGTATGTTACAGTGGTGAAAGTTCACATTTACACCAGGTGCTAATCTCAAGATGAATTTCATGACTGTCTAAAACTAGATTACGTATTTCCCTCACTTTGCTGGACACCCAGCCTGTGGAAGCTGACAATCCCATTTGGCGACAGTCAACACTCACTGCTGCATCTCTGCATTTCCAGACTTTTAAAAAATGCTGCCTTGGGGAATGAGAGCATGCAAATGCAAATGTCAGCCTCCACCAAATTTTGGGTATTTACTGTAACACACGCACACAGGACAGGATGGCGGGGGAAGTATTGGACTCTGTTCCTTTCTTGCTGAATGACAGCAACAAAAGGTCCCCTTTTGGAATTCATTTGAACCTGTCTTTTAGCACAGAGCAGTGACACTGGTTACCCCCCCAAACCAAACCTAGCATGCAAGTCTCTCCCAGCGTCTTGATGCAGGAAACACAAAAATATCCAGCTATCCAAGACTAAATTAGAATCAAAACCACACACATATCAGAATTGCAGGGAAACAGTGACAGAAACAAATTCTTCTCCCTCTCTCTTTCTCTCCCCCCCCCCACTGTCTCTAGTTAACAAAAGCTACATCACTTTCTCCTCTTAGCAGCAAATGCAAACCATCCAAAAAGCAGGGATGCTAGCCTTTGATTTATCCTCAGCTGCATTCCCCAAGACTGGCATACCGAAAAAGACAGAAACTTAGATATTATGATTATTGGAGTGTCTTTTTTTCCGGGGGGGGGGGGGAACGTTGCAAAATTTTGGTGAAGAATTCAGACATGCACTTTTTGCCCCTTCCTCTTCTCTCAGCCCCCGAATCTGACACCAGGTCATAAAATGACAAGGCACAGAGGTGATTCTAAGCCTCTGCTGGCGCCGTTGACAACTACCTAGGTCAGAGGGACGCATTCAAAAGCAACGAGACAGATTTGCCGGCATTTGGGAGGAGAACTGAAGCCACATCACTCACCCAAAAGGCAGGTTTCGCTGGAACAAAAGCAGGGTGCTCCAGCTCTTTCAAGATCCCCCCTGTCAGTCGCGGAGTTCGCACTTGCCTTTATAATTAAGCCAAGCAGCTCTGCTCAGTCACTGAATCTGATGAATTATAAAACGGGTAGCTCCCAGACTCTCATATTTTACATCACAGAGGGAGGTCATTCAATGAGGCACACACACACACACACACACACACACACACAGCCTGTGTACATGTATTCGGTTATAACTCATCCCAATAAACACATTAGAGCTGGCAGCGGGGACTGTAATTGGTGCTTAGGATGCACAAGCGCAAGCCAATGGCAGGCTGCAGCAACCAGCCTCTGCTCTGTGCAGCATCCTCAATTGTCACTCACAGCACCTTGTTAAGGTGGAACAGCCAAGTCTGCATTAAGGCCAGCAGGAGGGTCAGGACAGGCATTTAGGGTGCCAGAAATAGGCCCAGCTGGGTCAGTGCTAAACTCACTTATAAAGCAGGGGTCACCCTTGCTGTTCAAGTGTGCTGTGTGAACTACTTTGGGCACGCAATGTGGGGAAACGGCATGCCTTTGAAAGGGATGGTGGTTTAAATTCAGTGGGCAATGGGCAAACTCACTGAGGTTCTTCTCAGTGTGGTATGGGGGTTAAGAGCAGTGCTTCCCCCCTCCAAAAAAAATGTTTAGGGGTACTCTCATTTTCCTAGTTACATTTTAATGTATTTTTAATCTTTGTTGGAAGCCGCCCAGAGTGGCTGGGGAAACCCAGCCGGATGGGCGGGGTACAAATAAATTATTATTATTATTATTATTATTATTATTATTATTATTATTCCTACTCATATTGAAATGCTGCCCCTCAATGAGGCCAAACTTAGAGTCACAAAATGTTTAGGAGTATGCGTATCCCTGCATCCCCCCCCCAAGAAAAAAGGCACTGGTTAAGAGTTTTGGACTAGGACGTGGGAGGCCAGGGTTCAAATTCCCACTCAGCCATGAAGCTCGGCCTCAGGTCAGTTATTCATCCTCAGTCTGACCAACCTCACAGGGTTGTTGTGAGGATAAAATGGGGAGAACAACTACCTTGAACTCCTTGGAGAAAAGATGGGGAATAAATGTGATACAGAAGAAGAGAAGGAGGAGGAGGAGGAGGAGGAGGAGGAGTTTGGATTTGATATCCCACTTTATCACTACCCTAAGGAGTCT